ATTGACTATGACTTTATAATTAGCCGTTATCATCTAATAGAACTAAAATTATACTTTTTTTTACGAAATATTTGTAATAAAAAAAAAAAAAATAAATATGTTCATTTAATTCATTATTTCGTAACAATTATGTCTTTACTTAAATGGTAAGAACTCAGGAATTCCTATTAAATTATTGCATTTAAATAAGCAATTTCCCAACAAAATTCAGAATTCAGTAAGTAAAAGTGCTGGTCAGTAATATTTATTGGTCAACAATTATTAATTATATCAAAGTTAATCAAATATAATTTGTACAATATTCATTGTTTTATTATAAAAATATTGGATCCAAGTATATTTAAAAAGCTTTAAACATTGATCTAAAAATCAAATTGGAAAATAACGATCTGAATCTGAATTCTAATAATTATAACTTTGTTTCACAATCCTCAAAGTGTACTGAATCCAATGAATCACAATTCGACTAATATTATTTCCAAAACCAGGTATAAACTGGTTGAAAACGAAACCTTAGTAGTTATCATAAGAATATAAATTTGCATAAATATTCACAGTCTACTTCTGACTTTGTTTTTCAGTTCATCTTGATATATAACACGTTGAATTGCACGAGAGAAACGGTGGACTATGCTAAATTCCATGTCACGTTCGAACGTGAAAGGTTGTAAAAAAAAAAAAAGATATCTAGCGAATATTTTTAACTTTAACCTGTTTCCAAGGTATTTGATTGCAGTCGAAACCACTGGTTCGAATAAATATTTATTTCAAGGGTAACTAGTTGAATTCTGGATTCCGTGGAAAAAATTTGGCCACTACCTTTCTTATCCTCGAGACAAGGGATTGTCAATGAACTTAATTCTATTTTATATATGTATCATGCTCTTGACATAAGTACACGATCGAATTTCAAGGGTAGATGATGGATGGAAATTAAGATTTTCTTCCAGTAGTATCGATTTCGATTACGAATAAGACCCCCCTTACGTACTACTTGTGTTACATGATTATGATTACTCAATGCAATGCGAGAATTATCATATATCATGTTGAATATAGAAAATAAAAAGGCAAGTGTAAGAACTCTATAGTGCGTCGTTTGGAAAGAACATCGAAACGTATTATATAAATTATTAAAAAGTAGAGAATGCATTCGAAGTAATGCAAATAAAATGATAAAGTACAAAAGATACTAAGAAAACTATAAATTAATTCGTATACAAAAAAATATTAAGAAAACATACAGAGAAAATACAAAAATACACTACATATGGGTCTCTTTTTACAAGGTGAATCTTTTCTATTAAATATTTTCATTTTTTATTACTGTCATTATTTTAAGTATCTTCGATGGACAGACAACACTAATCTATACGAAGTTTCACCCCGAATAAAATGTGTAAAAAGAACCATGTAATTATAAATCGTGCAAAATGAATACCGTATAAAAAGAGACCCACGTTTTTTTTAAAGAGAGATCCATTTTTAAATACATATACCTTTCTTTTTATAAATCCTCGTGCATTTCTTCAATCCTCAGCCGTTCAATTTTTCGGTGATTCGGTCGCTCAATTTATGTCACTATACGGACCATTTTACTCGTTTCTACGCCACAATTCAATTTGCTATTCACGAGAAATATCATACACGTGCGACATTCACTGAAATCTCCGCGGTATCACCGTTTCGTTTCACGGGGGAAAAATCAACTCGTTTGTTATTCGGTGGCAGCTGTGTGTCGCTCGCACCGGAAACATTTCCCTCTTCGACAGCCGGGAACGTTAAGTTGACCTTTCACACTCTACGAAGCAACCGTCCGCTCGTCAAGGCGATCCTCTTTCCTCGTATCGTAGAAAGAAATAACCGTTAACGCGACAGCCGAACCTTCGAGGAGCGTGGTGAACGCACGAATGTGCACTCGGCCAGTCTACCTCTACGATTAATGACCCGAAGAACGTACACGCGCCCTTCTCCATCACCGGAATGCCTCGGGCATATACCGTTTACCTGTTCCCTAACTAACAATGTTTACAATTTTATTCGTACGAACTTTCTTCATTAACTACATGCAAATTGCTGTTTGTTCCTTTTTTTTTTTTTAATTATAATAGAACGCCTTGTATGTTTTATTTATTCGTATGATGAAAGGAATATTAATCCTTTTACGTTCGATGTTGCGTGTTTACAATTCTATTCTATTCGCACGAACTTTCTTCGTTATCCTACCAAATGTTAACACGTTCGAGGCGGTAGTCAGTCCCTACGGACCGACACTTCAGTATTCGTTTAGCCGGCGTGAGATACTTTAGTGGACTTCATCGAGTCTGATAAATATACTTGATTTTTATTAATATAAAAAATACACATTCAGTTCCATCTCGAACATGTTAATTATCATTTGTTTTTTTTTTTTTTTTGCTTTTTAATTATAATAGAATGCTTTGCTTTGTTCATATTATGAAAGAAGAATGTTAACTCTATGTTTAATGTTGTGTATACGATTTTGTATAAAATATTATTGATTAATCAAACGATGAGTGTATTTATATTTAATAAAAATTCTATTATTAATGTATGATTAATAGACAGAATCTTTTTAAAATACTTTTAGAATTATATGACTATGAAAGGGTTAAACTATTGGTTCAGGATTAATTGCTAATTATTGTCAGATATTCGTGAATATTCTATGATTAATAAGTTGCTAAAATTGTAGCCTGAATATTCATCACTAGAGATTTGAATGTACTTTGTGGAAATCAAATATGGCGCGCTTTTTTGCCGCGCAGAAAGACGCGATGCGCAGAATGTATTCAAACTTCTCTGACAACTTATGTTGATTGAATACTAATTATAATAAAAAGAAAGAAACAAACGTACTAATGCCTGTCTTCATAATAAATACTATAATAAATACTAATGCCTGTCTTCAAAATAAATTAAACGTTACCGTCAAATTTGTCAATAAATCATCGTGGCGTCCTTTTGAATATTCCAATTTTCAAGTTCCTTTTGCAATCAATCAATAATCAAATAAATATATGAAAATGAAACAATGATCAAAGTCACACACGTTTCGAAAACTCGTAATACAAGCCATCGTCAAGTATGATAACCAAAAAGACGCTCAAGAAGAAAAGACAATTTAAACACAAATTACAATAATATTCGATAAATTATTGATTAGAAACTTACGTTGATCAAACGATGTTGATCCTAGAGCGGGTATGAACGGTGAAAATATAACGATGAACACGTGACACGAATTAATAATCGTCGCACGCGGTGATACATCCTAACGCCTCGAGTTTCAACAACAAACTAACCCCCTGCGCAACAGGTTCGCGTCGCCAATGAATTCAGTGGGGTGGGGGCACAAGCGTGCACAAATAAGAATCCACTGATTTATGGAAAAGAAAAATATCTAATAAGAATATTTCAAGTGTATGTATTATACAAAGTATTATGTGTAAGTAAAGTATACAAGTGTATAAATTTATACAAAATATTTTTCTATTAATTAAATTAAATTAATGAACATAATTGAACACAATTAAAAACGCTTTTTTTAGCACAGAATACAATTACACATTTTTGTGATCAATTTTAATTATATGTTATAGCAATTTTACAGAAATCTTGCTACTTTCTCGTTTGTATTAATACTTGTATACAGGTATTTTTTTTAATGAAAGTATTTGAACAGAAAGTAAAAAGTTTTCATGAATATATATATATGTTGTGTGTGATTGTATATAGCAACTCTGTTAATGCTTTTTGTTGTAAAAGACTATTATTTTATTTTTTAAACGTAATCACTTACTTCATTTGGTAGTGTGTAATGAAGTAATTCTTCACAACTAAGTAATTTTTTTTGAAGTTGGTATTTCAGAAAAAATTCTTTTACACAGATTTGGGAACATCTAAAAAAAAAAATATATATATATAAAATTCATTGAGTATTTAGATTAGAATATCTATCGATTCGTTATCGCCATGTACTACATTCTATGTACTAGTTTCCATATACGAATATCAACTAATTTACGAAATACCAATTTACTACGTTCGTTTTACCTATTTACTCATTATGGATCAACGACTTGACCGTAAGCAGATGGTTAGAAACCTAAGCGGGAAATTCATTTAGAACTACCTTAAACGATTTAAACCTGTCTCAGACTTCTAATAAATTCCAGTTCAAAGAAAAATATAGAGAATGGATCAACTGGCAGAAATTTGAATACTTAATCGTTCAGTTTATTCGTATGAACAATTAAATGATACATATACATGGTGTGTATGAATTACGTGTCTCTCACTTAGGTCTAATACATCGACAGCGATCAGAGGCGCGTACAAAGCATCGAACGAGGCAAAGTACCGCCACGATTGCGTAGCTACGTTAATGATAATAATAAAAATTAAGTATAACTACCCTGTAAAATACGTAATGCGAAAGTTCATTGATATTCATTTATATTTATACTTGATTGTAATTCACTGATACTCGAGAATGATACTATCGTTTCGAAATTAACGGTATAAATTGGCAATCATCATCTGCGATTCAATAGTTTTATGATTTTCAAAAGAAATCCATGATACAATGACTACTTAAGTAATATACAACATCAAATAGTATTGGGTTAGTATCAAACAAGCGATCTTAAAAAATTTAGACAAAAATGTCTAGCTTAATAGACGTAGACATAGATATTATACGATAAATCATTATCGTTCATTCATTGAACCTTATCCGACATTGTCCAATACTCGAGCAACAATCGTATCATAGATTTCACGAAAAATTTTCGAAACTGATCGAATCGCACAAAACGATCGCCCATTTGTACCGCTAACGCCGAAACGAGTAATTTCTAGTAATAGTAATTTCAATACTAGTCTCAAAGCTAGTAATTTCAATACTAGTCCGTATTGAAATTACTTAAGAGCCTCACGGATCCGTTTCTCTGGCGAGATACGATGCTGGCACAGTTTCAGAGATCGGTGTCGTACCAAGCTGCAACCTGATTATTATCTTGCGGCGGTGCAGGAAGCTCTCCTAAATGATCGAAACTCAGGTCACCCTCGTGCGCCACGTCCATAGTGTCCATCGCGCCATATGTCGACCCTCCACCTATTTCCAACCCTTGCATCGAATCTACTGGTATCTGGTCATAACCTGTTTTACATAAAATTTACGATGAACCCAACGTGTTATCCTTCGTACGTTTCGCTACATTAAATCGATGAATACTACAAGTGTCAATGATTCTGTGAAAATTTTCTCAACCCAGTAAAGCACAACCTTGCTAAATAATCGCGACACGTTTTCTCGCGGAGATACCATTTTGCTTTTCGTCCTCTGAGACAGAAACAACAACAACAACAACAAAAAAAAAAAAACAAGTAATCATCTCAAATTATGGAAGTTCCGTCTCTCTTTAACTTGTGATACTGATACTTTCAACCTATTAACTAGATGGTTCTACGAATGAAAATTTCTGCAATCGTGAAATAAAAGATTAACAATAGAAACAAATTTTCCGATGGTGAAGAAAAACTAAGTAAAATAAATATGATGTAAATTACAATACTTTTAATAGAGATGGAATATATAAAAAGATAAGATGCTTCTAAATAAGATTATATCCAAAAGCTCTAACAATTTTTTTCCTAGTTAATAGGGTGAAAGTTTAAGCGTAAAATTAATTAAATTTGGGATAAAGACGACAAGTGAAGTGATAGCCACAAGATGCATTCGATTAGATTTAAATGAGAATGGACAAACAGGAATCGGAAAGATTAAATTCCGCCTTTGATTCGATCGTTATTGAAAACAAACTCGCAGTACTTGTTTCCGCGATAACACATCTCTGACAAACGTATCTTATCTAATTACTTACGAATACTTATCTATGCTTCTTTCCACCATAAAGTACGTTCACTTAGAGAAAAGATGATAAAAATACAAATATATCATGCAGAAAATTTGACAAATATATTATAAAAAAAAAAAAAAAAAAAAAA